AGTAGACGTGGTAAGAGTGAGGCTGGTGCTGGTTGAAGCCGGCCGGTGTGTTCAGGTAGGTCGAGTGGTGGTGGTGGGGGGGTAGGTAGCCGGTGTGGTGTTGCTGGTGCTGGTGCTGGTGCTGGAGACCGGGCAAGCCGTAGAACTCGGGCAGCTCGGGATGGGCCGGAAAAGGGCCCACAACCGTGGCCGCACCGGACGCCACCGACGTCCCGTTGCCGGTGCCGGTGTTGGCGGTTGTGCTGGCGCCGCCCAGCTGCACAAGCGACGGTGCCAGCATGGCACTATCGCAGACGGTCTGGTCAGCTGGGCTGCAGGCATAGTTGGCGTGTCCACGTGGCGGCAGAACCGCCAGGTGGGTGGGTGGCGTGCTGGAATGGTAAAAGGCGTGGCCGGGGCAGCCGGAGCCTTGGTCGCCGGAAACTGAGCCTGTTTGACGGGGTTTTGAGAATTAAGTGTTGCGAAAGTTGATGTTATTTTAGCAATTCTGACCTGTAGTCATAGTGATCACCATGGGCGTGGGCCTAGCTGCATGTGACCTCACGTCCCAGAACAGTTTTTAAGCTGTTCGTAGTTGTTGAATAGATCTTGAATACGAGTTGTAGTCAACCTAGGTTGTATACAATGATGGGGCCCAGAGACAGTGGAGCATCCATAATATGACACCTGTAGGTTTCGTAAAGTCAATGCATCCCAGAGGATAGCCCATCCAGGGTGGACTGCGGCTCTAAACTCATACGGAACTCGTCAGCATCTTCAATGGGAATCGAACCGGGCTGGCAGAGAGAACGGTTACGACATTTTATCATTACGCCACACCGTCGCGGATGCCGCTGTCTCAGGGCAGACGAGCCTCTCAAGACAAGCCAAGACTTTACTATAACACATTAATAGTGACTGAATGCCGATGAGGCAAACTAGTTTTTTACTTTATAAGTAAGTTTTCGAGACTTCCAGTATATAATGTGGATGAGATGTTTTCACTATATTTCGTTTAGATGATAAAGGATAGAATGTGAAAATGAGTTTTCGCACAATGATATGAGTAGACCTTCCGTTTCCATTGACCTTGACATAGCAGAAGTGGACAGTACTTTTGTCCTCGCCTGGATCTCATCAGAACCCCCAGGGGACTCAAATCATGACAGTGCGGCGTACAATCTCGACATGTTAACCACTACGCCAGAATGCCCTTGGCTGACAGGGCAGACGCGAATTTCAAGGAAGGCCAGGCATTTTCTCACATCAAATTTTGTGTTTGGGTTATCAATGTAGCAAAGTTGCATTTGCTGTAGTAATCAACTACATTACTTATTATTCGTGACCCAAGGGCAATCGTGTCAGTGTAGTGTAGTGGGTTACGTGTCGATATTTTAAGCTCAACTATCACTCTTCGAGTCCCGTTACAAGTGCTGATGAAACCCAGACAAGATAGAAACTGTAGTCCATTCTCAATAAGGATGCCTTTGGGGAGGCAAGACCATGCGGAATTCAATGAAGGCGTAAGGTCTACTCGTATCATTGTGAGAAAATTCAACTACAGGTCGTCCATCACCTTGAATTTTTTACCATTACACTCGACTATACTTGCATTCACAGTAAGTAGGTTTCGAGACTGTCAGTAGACCCTGAATAAGAGTTAGTCATCCAAAGTAGAATAAGGTGATCAAGTAATATATGCTTGAATAATCCTACAATGATTTGAGTAGGCCTTACGTATACTCTGTGATCCAAGAGCACTCGCGGCAATGTGGTGTAGTGTCATCATATCAAAAATATACACAGTACTAACAGGGTTCGATTACAGTTTGGAATTGTGATGAGACCTAGACGAAGTAGAAACTGTAGTAAACCCTAGATGAGGGAGGCTAAATGGAATGTTGCTTTTACAGAGAGACCCTATGGAACACATATAATATTACGTCTTCTGCCACGATTGTTTTCAGTATCGGACCGTTGATCTAGTATATTCCAAGCAGATTTCAAACTATAAGCAAATCTCAAATAAGAGTTCTAGTCTCGAAGCCTACTTCCTATGAGTATAAGTAACTTATTCGATTGCAATGGCAAAATAATGATATGAAAGAGGCCTGGCCTTTCTCGAAATTCACATCTGTCCCGTGACCCACGGGTGCATGTCAATGTACCATAGTGGCAACATGAAGAAATTATACTCTGCACTATCAGGGTTTAACTCTTGTTTGGAATGCTAATGAGTCCCAGGCGAGATTGAAACTACGACCCAGCCTGGGTCAAAATACTTTTGGAAAGCAAGACTGATGGAAACATAATTGAAACGTGAGGTATACTCATTTCATTGATATTATTCATTGCCTTAATTGACCTAAGGTGACTAAGACTCGTCGTTTAAAAAAAGTCTTGCCTTTTAGGCGATGTTTTGGTGCTGATGTTGGCGTTCTCTGAGTTGAATATGCCGACTACGAATTTGATGAAACATTTACGAATGGCCTGTTGTCAGAAAACTCACATTATCAATGGCAAATGTCTCTGAGCTCTCGGAAGTCTTCTCGTAAGCGTGGCCAAGTTGCAACGAGTTCCTCACAACTCTATACGCCTTAAGGGAAATTTGGAAAATACCATACAATTGTGTGGCCAGTTCTAATGAATGCCGGTCTATCCGCCACTCCTGACTCGAGAATTTCCTTAGTCCGACAGAATTTCACTACATTGAATCGCTCCTAAAATCGTTTTGCCAGGTTGACTGGCTAGCCTGCCTCTGTGCCACTCTCCCCGACAGGATCTAAAAAAACATATCGATCGTTTATTACACCGTGAGTCTGGCCTGTCGCTTTTCACGTGAATCAGACTGATCAACACCGTCGGTGCAAGAAGTTGTGCGCCTTGAACTAACTAAAACGACCCATCAAATACTCACATCAAAACTCAATCATTCTCTCCTTCTTTCGCGTAGGGAATGGGTCAGTTAGAAGACTAATACTCCCAACCACTATCAGCCATCCTCTGGCCTCATCTTCACTGGTCGTTCTTTAGCCCTTTGTCTCTTGTACCTCTGTACTGGTCTCGCTTTCAGGGCATCCTGAAATCTCTGTTTCCGCCGCCAGATCAGATTCTACCTCTTATGTATCTGACGATGCCTAAATAAATTCTTTTTAATCAGGGGTTTGCAGAACTTTTATATTCTCAGCCTACAACATTTTAAAGCAGGTATGTAGAAAAATTGAGTTTAGATCGGTCAAAAGGCTGCAGAATGGAGGCGATTTCCAGTTTTCGGGTGTCGAAATGGTAGTGGATAAAGCATGACTAGATGGACTTGGCTATCAGGAGAAATTACATGAACCAATGCAATAATGAGGAGATTGGTAGGTCGATCTCACCCAAAGACGACGGCTAGTTGCCGTTGTTCTACAGTCGTTTTTATTTAATACGACATTCAGGTTGACGCAATCCACGAGAAATCCTCCCTCATTTTGAGTGAAAACGGACTGAGCTTTCGTTCGTCATGTAATGAACATCACCAAAGCTGGTACTCATTCTCGACAAGTCTTAAGTTAACACTAAGTTAAGAAGGCTGAACGGCTCTGTCCTACATGGCATAAATACTCATAAAGTTATAATATTTAGATATATATTGATATAGAATAGTTTGGCTAGTTCTCTTATGCCCTAGTTTGTCTGCTTGCGTATATGTCTTAACTTCCTACACACACGCGCGCGCACACACACACACGGGTATAAGAGAACTAACCAAACCATTCTATATCAATTTATATATAAATATTTTTACGTTAGGAGTATTTATGCCATGTAGGACAGTCGTTCAACCCTCTTAACTTAGTGTCAACTTGAGACTTGTCAAGAATGAGTACCAGCTCTGGTGATGTTCATCATATGACGAACATAAGCTCAGCCCGATTTCACCCGAAACGAGGGAAGATTTCTCGTTATCTGTGTCGAGTAAAATATGTGAACCAGAGAGAGGGCAGACGGATCTTACGGGGCAAGAGAGAGACTC